GGGGGCATTCTCTGGGGACGGTGGACAGGCAGGTACCTCTTCCCCCCAGTCTGTGCAGAGACTGAGAAATCCATCTATTAATGAAATATTTCAGATGGCCTAAATGTGTAAAAAGATGTTGCAATGGCTGTTCGCGTCCCTGCTGTCCCACCTAAGAGATAATTAATGTGAATAGATCACCCAGGGAAGGAGGGCGAGCTCCTCCCAGAGGGAAGCCGTTGTGTGTGTCACCTCCTAGCCACGCGGGCAAGCACCCTGGACAGTATTTAGTGTTGTTTCGCATGTTTCTAATCCTAGCATAAAGCAGCATCACACAGTGTGCAACCGGCAGCTTGCTTTGCTTTGCTCAGCCTTGCCTGTGAGTTCAGCCAAGTCGCTCTAACCAGTTTCATGCTTGTAGAGGATTCCATTGTGTGACCAGACCACAGCTGAGGATCTAGCCTACTACTGATGGACATTCAGTTTGCCTCCAGTTTTCGCAATTAGAGACAATACTGCGATCAACATATGTATGCACGCTTTTCCCTCTGAGACCCCGTCCCCACGTGGGCCGTCCTCAGACTCCCGCTCACCCACCCAAACCACCCTCTCCGCTCTGCACCTAGAGCTGGCGGCTCGGGAGGACCAGGACCAGGGGGAGCGGGAGGGTGGCATGCAGGCAGGGAGGGGTCCAGGCTGCCTCCCACCTCCAGTGCCTCAGAGTCACCAGACGGAGGGTGCAGAGGGGAGAAAGGCCACGGGATTGGGCAAAGGGGGCGCAGAAAACATGGGGCTCAAAACCTGAAGAATCAGCAACTGTCTTCATTTTTCATCTCGAGTCCCAGCAACAAAGATCATGGCCGGAGGCAAGACACCGGCAGCGCCAAGAGGGAGACGAGCCCCCTCCCTTCTCCCCACGGTGAGTGTCCCCCAAGTCCCGAAATGGACGTGCACCGCTCCAGCCACATCCAGTCTGTGCTGGGATGGGATTCTCGTCAGCCCAGAGGCAGGAGAGGAAGGGCGTGCGCAGATGAAAGCACCGGAGGAAGTGCTCCTGGATTTTGGTCCTCAAGGGCTTCCGCGGTGACCCCTATGTGGGGAGACCCCGGGAGCCGAGCCCATCGCTCAGGCAGCCTCACTAGGAGACCCACCCTGACCACTGCTTGGAAGGAAACCTACTCTCCAGCTCCCTCCCTGATGCAGCTACTGCTCGGCTGAAGCGAGAACCCACCATCCCAGAGTGCCTCCCGTTTGCATGCGGTGCTTGGCACGGACCCTGAGACGAAGGTTAATGCTCAGGGTGCTCACTAGGAAGTTCCCCTGAGATTAACACCTGTGCAGGGGACGAGAGGAAAACAGGGGCGGATCAGACGGAGGGAACGCCACCCTCCAGCAATTTCAGCGGGTGCATGAGGAGTCCTGGGCTAAAGCAGCCCATTTGCTGAGAGGGCCAGACGCTTTTTTAAAACATAATATGTTTTTATTGGTTTCAGAGAGGAACGAAGAGGGAGAGAGATATAAACATCAATGATGATAAAGAATCATTGATCAGCTGCTTCCTGACGCCCACAGCGGGGATGGAGCAGCAACTGGACATATGCTCTGACTGGGGATCAAACTGTGACCTCCTGGTTCATAGGCAGACACTCAACTCCCAGCCACGCCGGCCAGCAGGGCAGGGTCAGACTCCTAGTGCTCGGGCCTTGATAGTGGCTCCGCGGAGGAGGGCAGTCCCAGCAGCGCTGGGGGCGGAGGGCTGGCTGCTGGGTGCTCCCTGTGGCGAGTGCAGCAAGTCCCTCCTTGACGCGGAACTGAGCTGCACATTTTCATTGTCCTCATGGGGCAGAAGAGCAGGGGCGGGTAGCAGTCCTTGCAGCTACTCAGGGTAAGTGTCTTGCAGCTGTGGCTGGAGGGAGGGGCGCTGAGAGAACAGAGAGGGGAGCGGGGGATTTTGGGCCCAGGTCTCCATGCGACTTCATTTCCTTTGATTAACACACAGGGACAGAACTTGGTGTTATGGCTGTTTGGCCTCCACTCCCTCCTAACTGACCCCCACTACGACCCTCTGTCCACACTCCTTCCAGATTGATCTTTCCCAAAGGCACATCAGATATGCACCTCCTCTGCTTAAGACACCCGGAACATAACCCCAGCTCCGGGCAGGGTCTGCTGGGCCCCCGAGGGCCCGTCATGCCTGCCTCTCCCACCTCAGCCGCTCTCTCTCTCTCTCTCTCTCTCTCTCTCGTGTTGCTTTAGGCCTTTTAATCTCTTCAAGTGTGGCACGAAAAATTATAGTATTCTAAGTGGTACACACACACACACACACACACGATGTGTACTGAGAACCATGGAAGTACTACATTTAAAATTAAAATGGAATCCCTCCAGATGCTCCTAGAGATGCGTCCTCAGCTCAATGCCACCTCCTCCCGGTGACTGATGACTCACAGGACCATCCCTTTTCTCACATTTATTCAAGGAATACCCATGAGCACTTACCATGTCCCAAAGCACCTTTCTAGGCAGCGGAGCTAACAGGGCGAGTGAGTCCAGGCCTTGCCTCGTGGAGCTCACATTCTAGAAGGAGATCAACACACAACTAAAAGGAAAACACCACGAGCTCAGAGTGTAAAGTGCTGAATGCACAGGGCGCGGGGGGTGGGGAGGGGGAGCGGAGGGTGCCTGGATCTCGGCCCTGACTTCGTGCTCAGAGCGTCCCCTCTTCCCCCGCGGGGCTGCTCCGGGCCCTGCGCTGA